TTTATTGGAGTGAACATCCTTGATGAGATTTGAAGTTGAAGCTTGTTTTTATTTGGTTATTTAACTTGTGTGAAGCTTAAGTCGTGGGTTTTATTATGTTGGTTATTTCACACACTACACTCCAAGTTGTTCAATTGAAGTTTGGTTAACCCTTCAATAATGTCTTGAGTTATCGTTGCTTATTTCTTGGAAGTTAGGTAAAGGGTGGTGATCTTATCTCGAAGATCAATATTGGGAAGTTAGTCGATCGCTTGTTTGTGTTTAGTCTTTGTTCTTTTGTTTTTATTTTTCATTTTGTTTTGCTTGACGACTAGCAAAATCTAAGTTGTGGGTATTTGATAAGTTCATAAATTTTCACATTTATGTACTCTTTATACTTAGTTTCTGTAGGAGAATTGGATTTAAAAAGAACTTATTACTTTATTTTCTCAATTTTCAGCTTTCCGGAGTAATTGGTTTTCAACAGAAATATGACTTTTTGGTGGAGTTTTTGTACAAGACCAGTTGGAGATGAAAGCTAAGATCTTGAAGATGATTGTGAAATTTTTCTAGAATTTTCAGAGTAGCCAATGAGAGTAGTCTTTGAAGTTAAGTAAGCATAAGGTTCAATCTTGTCAAAACTATGCTGCTGTAGAAGAATGATTATTTGAAGACTTTTCTGATTTTTCCTCAAGGTGTGTGATATATGGTTGGAAAGATAAGACAAAGATCTAAATTTACATATTTTTCCCAAATTTTCTTGGAGGAGGAACGACCTCAAACGTGCGTGCAAATAAACTGACGTGTTATCCCAGTCAAAGTAGGAAGATGAGTCAATTACTTACCCATTTTGGATTTATGTTTTAATTAGATTTTTCTTTATTTTTAGGCTGCTTTAAAAGCCCAACTGGGGTAGGAATAGACGGGTGGTGTTTAATTTAAGGATGAGAAACAACTCCTTTGGAGTTACGCAAAGACTTGGAGAGATTGGAGACGCCAGAAGAGTACCACAATTGGCTAAGTTTTATTCCTTATGTTTTTGCTTATGTTGAATTCTATGATTATGTATAACTAATTTTTTGTTGCTAGGGCATGATGTAGCCCTAGTATGATAATCTAGTTTTCTTATTTTACATATCTATTGATTGCCATTTGATGTTGGATTCTTAATCACTGTGCTTAATAACTTGGTTGATTATCTTGATGCTTGATCACCATCTAGACTTTTAATTGAGTTAATCGGATGCAAATTAGAGTAAATACCATACTTAATTTGGGGCTTGCTTCTTATGATTAGGATTAGTAATTCGTCTAGGGTAAATACCATACTCCTAGGGTTTACATGCTTGTTGGAGGTTTTCACTAATCTTAATGAGTTTCTATGTATTCATATTTGACCTAAATACCATAGGCGAATTGTATGTAGGAATATACGAGTTAGCATAAATACCATAGGTAATTCATGAAAAAGGAAAACTAAGCGGTGACATCAAATGGTTAGTTAATAGGTAGGTGAATAAGAGGCTAGATC